TGGAGACAGAACTGTGCCTTTACTCGCTCAGGTTTTCTCGTCCCTCCCCTCTCTTTGTCACCGAGCAGAACGTTTCACACAAGGTCACTTAGGAAGGGCTACTGACCTGCCTGGCCAGCTCAAGGACTGGGAAGACTAATGACCACCTGTTGCCACGGACTTAAATTTGCTGATCTCTACACTTCATGCCACCCCACTCTGAACTTTGGAGCTTCTATTTCTCTCTTCCTTCTTCTCCCTATAAGTCTCATTTTCAATGTAATTGTGCTCGATGTCCATGAATAAACCTCATGGTTCAGTAAAGATGCTACCTTGGCCCGGCTAAATCTAAACTTGGAGTTATGTAAACCCTAGGCACTCAACCGCCATACTAGGAAGCCAGCAGTGACCCCAAACAGCAAAGAATAATGTTGCACCTGTATGGGGAATTTTCCAGGTTACCTTGAAGTCTCACTAGAGATGCTGAAGATACGGAAGCTAAGACCATCATTCCCACAGCACAGCGGGACTTGTGTTCTGGTTGCCCAGGCTAGAGTGCTATGGCATCATCATAGTGCACAGCAACCTCAAATTTCTGGGCTCAAGTGATCCTTGCCTCAGCCTGCAGAGTAGCCGGGACTACAGGTGCCTGCCATTGACACCTAGCTAGTTTTTTCTATTCTTAGTAGAGACAGGTCTTTTTCTTGCTCAGGCTGGTCTCGAACTCCTGAGCTCAAGCAATCTACCTCAGGCTCCCAGAGGGCCAGGATTACAGGCGTGATCTGTAACACCCAGCCTGGTTGCCCTTTCTTACCGAAAACATACCCAAAATGTCCATAGTGTGTGGAATAAAGTAAACTGGGAGCCTTGCTAGATCAGAGGTAAGCCTTTTTAAAAAAAATGGATTTTAAGAGGGAATGTAGGGCTCATTAATAATATAAAGAAATTAGCACTAGAAAAAGGGCAGGGAAAAAATACTAAGGAAGTTCAAAGCTTCAGTGACATATATCGGGATACAAGTTCACAGGCTAGAGGCAAAACCAATTCTCAAGGTGGATCTGGATCTGAATTTAATACTTTCACCTATGGTTACAAAAATGCAGCATAGCTACAAAAGACAAATCCTAACACAATACAGTGAGGAACTGGGCCCTGTCACAATAGGTTTCTGCAAACGGCTTCTTTGTTACACTTTGTACATTCTCCAGTTGTCTTGATGTTTTTATTGATTTTGGTTTTTTGTTTGTTTGTTTGTTTTGGTTTTTGCTTGTCTGCTACTCTACCCTCCAGGAACTCAAGCATACCTCTAATCATTTGATCTGTTCACTAAATTGCTGGGTAGACATGGTAAATTGATGCCCATCAGCCCTTTCAATCCCCGCCCCTTAAGCCTTTCTGTTATGCAGGAAAATTGGCTCAGCACCTGTATAGCTCAGTGGCTAGGGTGCCAGCCACATACACCGGGCTGGACGGCTCGAACTCAACCTGGGGCCTGCCAAACAACAATGACAACTGCAATAAAAAAAAAAAAAGCCAGGCATTGTGGTGAGCACCTGTTGTCCCAGCTACTTGGGAGGGAAGAGAATCACTTAAGCCCAAGAGTTTGAGCTTGCAGTGAGCTGTGGCGCCACAGCACTCTATTGAGGGCGACATAGGGAGATTCTGTCTCAAAGGAAAAAAAAAAAAAAGAATTAATATTCCAGACTCCCTTGCAGCTAGGTATGGAAGGGAAAGAAATGTGTTCTGGGCTTCGTTTCCTCTGGCCCCAGGGAGGTGCTTGGTAACTCTGCAGCAATATCCTGTGTCTCCACTAACTTTACTCATGGACAATCTGTTTTACTGGAGAAGATCACAGCAGCTGTAGCAGCCTCACCTTCCCAATTTGGTCAGGGCTTCCCGATGTCAGAAGAGGCAGCAGCTACTTGAAGACCCCACGGCTGGGCTGAGAGAGGAGTTTCTGAAAGTACAGGTTTCTCCTCATCTCCTGATGATTTCTAAGAGCATTTTAACATCTCAAGCCAATTCTGCTTAAACTAGATAGGAGTGGATTCAGCTTTGAAATCAGCCTAAAACATGGCCTTTGTTCTTGTTTTTAAAAGTAGATCAATATCTTTGTTTTTAAAAAAAAAAAAAAGGACACAAGGCAGAACCTGAAAATTCAGTTTTCTTCCTGACGGGCTGCTTAACCTAGGGCAAGGCACTTACTGATGTTTATTGGGCCTCAGTTTTCTCATCTATAAAACGAGAGGGTGAAACTAGATAATCTCCAAGGACCCTAACGGCCCTACTATTCACTGATTTTAAACCCAGATGCCCTTTACTTGCATAATTCTGACTTTATTTTTGCAGTCAATTAACTAATACAAAAAGTGCCTCTATGTAGGAAAAAAAATACTGTTCTCATTCTTATTGAGGTGGCAGCCTTCAAATCAAGCTGTGCAACACCAGATCCCCAGGCCAAGAAACTGCTTTCACTGAAATTTAGCTTTCCTTTGGAGAAAGGGTTCGCTGTGGTAGAGGAGGGTGGGTAGGGGGCAGTGAGTAAGACTCTTTTATAGTTTCTTCTAGAAAGGAGAGTAGCAGTCTTGGTTTCTGTATTGTGTACATTATTTTTTTGGAGATGGAGTCTCACTCTATTACCCCAGGACTGAATGCTCTGGCATCAGTCTAGTTCACAGCAACCTCAAACACCTCAGCTCAGACAATCCTCGGGCCTCTGCCTCCCAAGTAGCTGGGACTACAGGTGCCCACCACAACATCCAGCTAATTTTTCTGTTTTTAGTAGAGACAGGGTCTTTCTCTTGCTCAGGCTGGTCTTGAACTCCTGAGTTCAAGGGATCTTTTAGCCTCAGCTTCCCAAGAGTGCTAGGATTATAGGCATGAGCCACTGCACCCGACTTGCGTACAACAGAAAGGACTCATTAATTCTCTGTATGATAAAATAAATAGAAAACAGGTACAGCTTCAAATTTGTTTGTGTCTAAACTGTTTCCTTCCATAAAAGGAAATGTATCAGTCCGTTGACCATGATTATCTCTGTGTGGTAAGACTTCAGGTTTCACCCTAACTTTTATACTCTGGCATTTTCCAAATTTGCCATGTTTTTTAACTAGATAGGTAAAAAGACAATGGGAATCTTCCTCACTCTCTCCCCTCTTCCCACATCTGTGCTGGGAATGGCTGCACTGAAATCTCTAATTCCAGGGGGAAATGTCTTCCTTCTTTAAACTTGGATAAATGTTAACCAAATCAGATATACAGGTGGGTAGGTCAGTGGGTCAAAGATAAGTAGGTAGGCAAACAAATAAACCTTGAAGAGAAAGCTCTGCCAAATTTCACTGAAGAGGGGTAGTTTAAAAGAATAAATTTAGTCGAAGTTGAGCCAAGAATCCATAGATTCTTAAAAATTAAGCTTCCCCCTTCAGCACAAATAATATTTACTGTAAACACATCATTTTTGTAAAAACTAATTAATTTTTTTTTTTAATTTCCTAGAGTGTCACTCTGTCACTCAGGCTTAAGGTCAGTGCACCATCACAAATCACAGCAACCTCAAACTCCTGGGCTGAAGTGATCCTCCTGCTTCAGCCTACCAAGTAGCTGGGACTGCCATGCCTGGCTAATTTATTTATTTTTGTAGTGACAGCGTCTCACTCTTGCTCAAGCTAGTCTCAAACTCCTGGCCTCAAGTAATGCTCCCCTTCCCACCACCTGAGTCTTCCAAAGTGCTAGGATTATAGGCAGGGGTCCTCAAACTTTTTAAACACGGGGCCAGTCCACTGTCCCTCAAACCGTTGGAGGGACGGACTGCAGGCCCCAGGACGAGTTGGCTGCTAAGCAGGACAGGCAGCATCAGCAAAAACACCCAGCGGGCCAGATAAATGTCCTTAGAGGGCTGTATGTGGTCCTCGTCGCCTGATTATAGGCATGAACTACCATGCCCAGCGCCCCCCCCCCAAAAAAAATTAGTCAAGTTTTAAAACTTATATTAATCTCTCAAATTTCTGGCAAGGGTATAAAGCAGTAATACCATGGAGGCCAA